GCCAGATTTTGGTAATTTCAAAGCAATCGATCATAAATGCCTTCCCTTTTTGACATTGGTTATGTCGCCGTACGCATAAAGAGATGTATGCATTGATAACCTACACATTTTTAAAAAATCATTAAATAAAACCCTCCAGGATTTTACGAGGATCTTGGTTACTTCAGAATTACAATTAATCCTGAGGCAAGATTGGCATTATTCGATTACAACATCAAATTTGGTAACTTCTAGTTCTTAGCCAGGGTTCAGCCGTGCCAAGTCCATAGAAAAAAAAAAATGTTGTATGGCCCAATTTTAGCCACCAAAATGCAAACATTTTGGTTGTGGACAAAAGAGTCACTATGGCCTGGTAGTGATTTCCCAGAGACTGGAAAAGATGGCAAGGTGACCAGAGGTGCGACACTCAAATTTACAAGGCTTGTGCATGGGGCTGAAGAAGGTGCAGCTGAATAAAGTGCTGCGCATGGGGCGGGAGGAGTTGCGCTCAGGTCCAGATAGCTTGTGCATAGGGCTGTAGAAGGTGCAGCTGAATAAAGTGCTGCGCATGGGGCGGGAGGAGTTGCGCTCAGGTCCAGACGGCTTGTGCATGGGGCTGGAGAAGGTGCAGCTGAATAAAGTGCTGAGCATGGGGCGGGAGGAGTTGCGCTCAGGTCCAGAGGGCTTGTGCATGGGGCTGGAGAAGGTGCAGCTGAATAAAGTGCTGAGCATGGGGCGGGAGGAGTTGCGCTCAGGTCTAGAGGGCTTGTGCATGGGGCTGTAGAAGGTGCAGCTGACTAAAGTTCTGAGCATGGGGCGGGAGGAGTTGCGCTCAGGTCTAGAGGGCTTGTGCATAGGGCTGGTGACCGTGTTAGGCTAAGCCTCTTTATCTTTTGTGGAATTCTAGGTTCCTCTCTTATAAAAGGGAACTAAATGATCTAAATTAATTTTAGGAAATTCCACGCCCTTGTCATTTATTAAATGGGCACTTTTCCCCTCCAATTGCAAAATTGTGAATGGCCCCAAAAAACCAGCATCAAGTTTTCCCCCTTTCCTCTGCTGACTTCCCACATTTTTTCGGAGCACTCTTTCCCCAATAGCAAAAGTATGCACAACAGCCCCAGATGTTCTTTTCTTGCCCTTGACCTTTTGTCTTGAGGCTTGCATGTTTTTTTTACGGCCTCAAATACTTGGTCCTGCAGCTGTATGGCAGGCATAACTATTTCAGTCTGCAGGACATCTTCCACAGTATCATTGACCTGATAAATAAAACCAATAAGTAATACACATATAATACAAAATGGAAGCAATTTTTGTGAATAAAACTTACATCAAAAGACACAGGAACCTGTGAAAAATAACGAGCCTCCCTTCCAAAGATCAATCGGAATGGGGAGAACAGCGTGGTTAGCTGTTTTTTGGTCCTGATATTGAAGAGAACGGCGTCAAGATACTGGTCCCATGTCTGCAGTTTTTCCTGACACGGTTTTCCAAGAGCACTTTGGGGGGTGGGGGGGTTAAGAAAACACTTAAATGATAATACCCACTTGAAATAACCAAGCCACAGCCATGCTCAACATGACACAATCTTACCTCTGTATTGTGTCATTAATTTTCTCCACCAACCCATTTGTTTGTGGACGGTATGGGGAACAAAGACTTCTCTCAATCCCAAACAGTTTACAGATTTCTTTGTTGATCTGAAAGAAAAAAAAAATCATTGGTACAGACATAACATTACTAAAATGCTCAAATGTTGAGCAAGTTACCATACAGACCTGATTAACAAACTCCCTTCCTTGATCTGTAAGGATTCTCACTGGTGCACCAAATCTATAAAATGTTTTCACAATGCACCAGGAGACCTCCTCTGCGGATTTTGAGGTGAGGGGATATGCTTCTACCCATTTTGTAAAATAGTCTAAGCACACACATGTATTGGTGCCCTTAAGATGTCATGGACAGCTTCCCAACCAAATCCATTCCAACCAATTCCCATGGTTCATTCGCCTACACAGAATAAAGGTATACAGAGGGATAGAATATCATATAATATATAACACAATATAATATAATAATTCAATACAACTATTGGAGCGTACTCCTCCTGGAGCTTGATGGGTCTATTGACCTGGCAGGCAGAAAACTGTTTGATCTACAGAGAGCATAAATGAAGTAATTATTACATTGCTTTTGGTAAAAACTACCACGGTTAAATTACAATTTCATTATGAAAATTATCAGCAACATACCCACTTTTCGATATCAACACTCATTCCAGGCCAGTAGTACCTGCTGGAAATTGCTTGTATGGTTTTCTCTTTTCCACTGTGACCCCTGGCTTCACTGGCATGAAATTCTCTGAAAATGCTGTCTGCTTCTGCAGCACCCTTCAAAACTTTTACTAAGAGCTGTATAGCAGAGCCCTTATGACGGATATAAAACAGCATTCCATTTATTACAAACAAACAAATAGCTCAAATAAAACCATATGTATAATACCCTATACATTTTGGCCCAATATGTTTAAGCACAGGAATAAAGAACAAACAATAAACTGTACAGAGTCTTGCCCTGGACAACATATTGGTGTGCACGCCGTCGAATGACATATTTCTCAACTTTTGAAATGCCAGGAGGATACATACCTTGACATTTATAATTTAACAAAACATCAAACGGAGTTGGATCCATTCTGGGAATAAAAACATAATTTAATTTTTTTTACACTGCTTACATTGGCACAATTAAATTATCAAAAAGCTGATACTTACATGTGGCCTTACTTTTAGCTGCCAGGAGAATGAATGTCAAATAGCATGCAGAACATTGAAAGAATGTGTTGAAGAACACAGAGCCAAAGTGTTACAACTTAGATACATTTTATAGACAAAAATCTGATGGGTTAAAGACTTCCAGGTGCTTTCTGGACAAAATCAGGTGCATGCTTTTGTTTATTTGTAATAATCCATCATTTAAGCAATTTAGTGCTTTTAAAGGACTTCCAACTTTTAATTAACTGACAAAGTTTTTTTAATTAAATTCAATTAATTTAAACAACAATTGTAAATATTTTTATCCTTAAAATACAAATTGTTTTTATTTACATAATTTGTGTTTTCACTATAAGTGTTCTGTTAATGAAATAGCTAAACATAATTACAACATAAGCAAAATCACCACCATTGCTGTATTGTACTTTAAATCGTAAAAAGTCATATATAGAGGTAAACCATTTTCCTCAGCCTCTGGAAAAAACTGTTCCATTTGTTTAAAATAGTGATCAAAATCATATAAATGATGTCATGACATGACATAATTATAAAATAACATTACCAGCATTGCGTTACTGTGCTATAAATCTTAAGAAATTAATATATATATATATATAGGGAGACCATTTTCCTCAGTCTAAAAAAAATATGTTTCCCGTGTTTTCAGTATAAAATCATGCTCTCCATATAAGTGAAAAATTTTACATAAATAACTCATTTTAAACACCACAAACATCATCATGAGTTAGCTAAAATAATGAAAGACACAGGTAATTATAAAATGCAGTAGCGTTTATTTTTCCAAGGCCTTAATTGTTTGAAAGCCACTATGAGCTGATTCAGTACACAAAATCATGACGTCATGATACTGCATTTGCGCATGCGCTGTGAAGGGGGAACTGAATTCTCCGGAACACCGGCAAGCTGGAAGGGGCGGAGCTAACAACCCGCTCCTACGATTGGTTGTTACTTTACCTCAATCTACATTTGTATACATGAATTTTATTTCATTTATTATATTTATAAAGACTTGTAGATATAATAATAATATGATTATACTACTCTAAATAATATTATAAATAATTATTTAACTATTTCACTAGGGTTACATATGTTTTTGCAACTATTTTCGGTAAGATGACTTTCAGTTTTGCCATCTGAACGACAGAGCATAAGAACGACAAGAATGGGATTCGATGAACTCGGCCACCTCGTTATGTATGTACTCACTTTCATGATGGGGGCTAGACTATGACATTTCTGTATGTATTTGCTGCTATTTTCAGTAAAGATGTTGTTAAATTTTGCAACAAAATCCTTCAAAACGAAGAGAGCGTGCGAGTATAACACCTTCCACGGAAGCACCGGCCTCTTTCAAACGCCAGAGCATTTGAACGACAAGGATGGGATTCGATGGACTCAGCCACCTCGTCATGTATGTACTTACTTTCATGATGGGGGCTGGACTATGGCATATATGTTTGTATTAGCAGCTATTTTCGATAAAGATGACATAAAATTTTGCAACAACATCCTTCAAAACGCTAAAACAGTGAGAGTAAAAGAACTTCTACAGAAACACCATGATCTCTCGAATGCCAGAACATATGAACGATGAGGATGGGATTCAAACCCACACGTGCAGAGTACAATGGATTAGCAGTCCATCGCCTTAACCACTCAGCCACCTTGTCACATATTTGCCTTTTTCTCTGGTGGAGGCCGGACTGTGGCACATATTTGTATATGTATGTTTCTGCAACTATTTTCGGTAAGATGACTTTCAGTTTTGCCATATAAACGACAGATCAAATGAACGACAAAAATGGGATTCGATGGACTCTTCCACCTGGTCATTTATCTACTCACTTTCCTGTTGGGGGCTGGACTATGGCATATATGTTTGTATTTGCTGTTATTTTCGGTAAAGATGATGTTAAATTTTGCAACAACATCCTTCAAAACGATAAGAGCGTGCGAGTAAAACACCTTTCACGGAAGCACCGGCCTCTTTCAAACGCCAGAGCATTTGAAAGACAATGATGGGATTCGATGGACTCTTCCACCTCGTCATGTATGTACTCACTTTTATGATGGGGGCTGGACTATGGCATATATGTTTGTATTTGCAGCTATTTCCGATAAACATGACGTTAAATTTTGCAACAACATCCTTCAAAACGCTAAAGGAGAGTAAAAGAACTTCGACAGAAACACCATGATCTCTTGAATGCCAGAACATATGAGCAACAAACATGGGATTCTAACCCACGCGTGCAAAGCACAATGGATTAGTAGTCCATCGCCTTAACCATTCGGCCACCTCATCATGTACTTGCCTTCTTCTCTGGTGGAGGCCGGACTGTGCCACATAATTGTATATGTATTTTCTGCAACTATTTTCGGTAAGATGACTTTCAGTTTTGCAGTATGAATGACAAAAAATGGATTCGATGGACTCGGCCACCCTGTCATGTATGTACTCACTTTCCAGTTGGGGGCTGGACCATGGCATTTCTGTATGTATTTGCTGCTAGTTTAGGTAAAGATGACATTAAATTTTGCAACAACATCCTTCAAAACGATAAGAGCGTGCGAGTAAAACACCTTCCACGGAAGCACCGGCCTCTTTCAAACGCCAGAGCATTTGAACGACAAGGATGGGATTCGATGGACTCTTCCACCTCGTCATGTATGTACTCACTTTCATGATGGGGGCTGGACTATGGCATATATGTTTGTATTTGCAGCTATTTTCGATAAAGATGACTTAAAATTTTGCAACAACATCCTTCAAAACGCTAAAAGAGTGAGAATAAAAGAAGTTCTACAGAAACACCATGATCTCTCGAAAGCCAGAACAAATGAGCGACGAGGATGGAGTTTGAACCTGCGCATGCAGAGCACAATGGACTAGCAGTCCATCGATATAACCACTCGGCCACCTCATCACGTGTTTTCCTTCTTCTCTGGTGAAGGCCGGACTGTGGCACATAATTGTATATGTATGTTTCTGCAACTATTTTCGGTAAGATGACTTTCAGTTTTGCCGTATGAACGACAGATCAAATGAACGACAAAAATGGGATTCGATGGACTCTTCCACCTCGTCATGTATGTACTCACTTTCATGATGGGGGCTGGACTATGACATTTCTGTATGTATTTGCTGCTATTTTCGGTAAAGATGACATTAAATTTTGCAACAACATCCTTCAAAACGATAAGAGCGTGCGAGTAACACACCTTCTATGGAAGCACCGGCCTCTTTCAAACGCCTGAGCATTTGAACAACAAGGATGGGATTCGATGGACTCAGCCACCTCGTCATGTATGTACTTACTTTCATGATGGGGGCTGGACTATGGCATATATGTTTGTATTTGCAGCTATTTTTGATAAAGATGACATAAAATTTTGCAACAACATCCTTCAAAACGCTAAAAGAGTGAGAGTAAAAGAACTTCTACAGAAACACCATGATCTCTCGAATGCCAGAACATAAAAGCGACGAGGATGGGATTCGAACCCACGCGTGCAGAGCACAATGGATTAGCAGTGCATTGCCTTAACCACTCGGCCACCTCGTCATGTATTTGCCTTCTCTAGTGAGGGCTGGACTGTGGCACATATTTGTATATGTATGTTTCTGCAACTATTTTCGGTAAGATGACTTTCAGTTTTGCCGTATGAACGACAGATCAAATGAACGACAAAAATGGGATTCGATGGACTCTTCCACCTGGTCATTTATGTACTCACTTTCCTGTTGGGTGCTGGACTATGGCATTTCTGCAGGTATTTGCTGCTATTTTCGGTAAAGATGACGTTAAATTTTGCAACAACATCCTTCAAAACGTTAAAAGAGTGAGAATAAATGAACAGAGCATTTGAACGACAAGGATGGGATTCGATGGACTCTTCCACCTCGTCATGTTTGTACTCACTTTCCTGTTGGGTGCTGGACTATGGCATTTCTGTATGTATTTGCTGCTATTTTCGGTAAAGATGACGTTAAATTTTGCAACAACATCCTTCAAAATGATAAGAGCGTGCGAGTAAAACACCTTCCACGGAAGCACCGGCCTCTTTCAAACGCCAGAGGATTTGAACGACAAGGATGGGATTCGATGGACTCTTCCACCTCAGCATGTATGTAATTACTTTCATGATGGGGGCTGGACTATGGCATATATGTTTGTATTTGCAGCTATTTTCGATAAAGATGACATAACATTTTGCAACAACATCCTTCAAAACGCTAAAAGAGTGACAATAAACGAACTTCTACAGAAACACCATGATTTCTCGAATGCCAGAAGATATGAGCGACGAGGTTGGGATTCGAACCCACGTGTGCAGAGCACAATGGATTAGAACGCCAGCTGCCGAAGAATAGTCCGACAATACTTCACAAATGTTGAAGATGAGAGCCAATCGGAGCGATTCGCTCCAACATTGTAGCCAATCACGTTGCAGCGCTTCAACATTTGCAGCCAATCCCGGAACCGGAATTCTCAACATTTTCAACATTTGACCAATCAGAGTAGAGACAATGTTGAAGCCGGGGGGAGGAACCGTTCCAAGAATCACCGCTAGGTGTGCAGTCAAACAGGTTAGTCAGATGTCAATCAATTTTCCGAACTGAGCCGAAGGTACACGAAGGAATGACGCGGTCCTCTGGAGGCGGGTCAGAGGTCAAAAAAGTTCATTGACCATCAGTGATATTCAACGAACAGCATCATTCGACAGAGCACAGCATCGTTTTGCTTACAGTAAAGGATTTTTTCCGATAGTGATTTCTTAAAAAAGGTAGGAAAAACTACACAATTGCACGAATTAATGTTTTAGTGTGTTGTATTTCAAATTTGGATACTTTAATTCAAAACCGTTTTATTTATAGGAGAAAAAATGTCTGGAAAATCTCATAAAGCCATGTCAGACGCTGACTGGATTTCACGTTTGAAAAAGTTTGCCAGCACAGGAGTTTGGCCATCAAATGAGGGAAACAGGCCAGCTCCTCGACAAAAAAAGTGGCATGAGATTTATCAAAGGGTGTGTATTTCGTTTACATGATATAACGTTTGTTGAAATTTGCTTGACAGAGTAACGTTAACTTGTTAGGCTTCAGTACATTCAGTACAGTATCTGTGTAAAACATGTCATACTTGTTTTTAAATATTAAAGTGTTTTAAATTGCATGTATTTTGAGATTTACGTCGAATAATTTAGAAAGTTTGACCGTTTATGAGAGAGATCTGAAAAGGTGGGGGAAGGGATTATGAGTACAGTATACAGCATGTGGTTTTAAGGCCTGAAATGTTCTTGTCCAGTTCCTTTTATTCTTCTTTTCGTTTTTGGAGATACAAACTGTACGATTACATATTAGACAAATATTAAACACATTCTAGAAACAGTGGTAAATTAATTTACAGAGCTATTGTGTGCTTTATTAAGGGAGTCATTGAGTTAAAATTCTTGTTTAGTTATAAAAGTTTTTTGTATTGTATAAAATTATTTAATATATTTTTCATGATTTTTTCAGATTGAGAAATGCCCATTGCAATCTCGTGGGCAGAGGACTTTGCTTGGAGGTGTGCTGAAATGCACATGTGGTTTTCACACTCAAAAGGTACATTTTTGAGTCAATATGTGTATATTTTTATTTACTAGAATGCCTTTCCTTTTTCATGATTATATGTATTTTTGTGATTTATTTTCAGCAGAGTACTGCTTCTGCTGCTCCAGCACAAACGGTGCAACAACCTGCCCCTACTGTACCTGCTCAGGAGGTGATGGAGACGAGACAACTTGAGGCCCAGCCCCAGCCCCCGTCTACTCCATCAGTGGCATCACAGATTTCACCGCAATTGTCAATGGTACATTTTTTTAAAAATCAAAAGAAATGACAATTTCAGTGTTTCAAGTGTTCAAGGTGTTCAGTTCAAAGTTCAGTTCAAAGTTCAAACATAGGAGAGAAAAGAACAAAAAGCAATAAAAAAGTTGAGGTGTTGCTAGAGACCTGCTTCTTTTCACACCTCTTGTACAGCGGGGGGGTAGCAGACATTTGCTGATTGGTCGGTTTGAGTTTCTGTGATTGGATTAAATTACATGGTCAGGTCATGGTCAGGGTCACAGTTTTTAAAGCTACATTTTAACCTCTTGTCTTCAGATAATGATACATAATAAACACTAATAGTAAATACTTTGTTTTGATTTTAAGTGTAAGCTAAAATTTGTACTTTTTCTAAACAACGAGTCTGAGGTATTATCTTGACAAAGTACTTATTTAAAAAAAAAAATATTTTTTTTTTTGCTACCACAGGTATGATAATATTTTTTCTTCTGGGAGAAAGTCTTATTTGTTTTATTTCGAATACATTTTTCAAGGTCAATATTATGAGCCTCTTTAAGCTTTTTTTTTTTTTTTGGCATAGTCTACAAAACAAACCATCGTTATACAATAACTTGCCTAATTACCCTAACCTGCCTATTTAACCTAATTTACCTAGTTAAACCTTCAAATGTCACTTTAAGTGGTATAAAAGTGTCTTGAAGAATATCTAGTCAAATATTATTTACTGTCATCAGGGCAAAGATAAAATAAAACAGTTCTTAGGAATGAGTTATTAAAACTTTGATGTTTAAAAAAATGTGCTGAACAAATCTTCTCCATTAAACAGAAATTGGTGGAAAAAAATTAAAAAGCGGGCTAATAAATCAGACTTCAACTGTATATAACACATAGTGTGATGTTGTAATATACAATGTATGTTTTTGTTGAAATGCATGATGTAATAATAGTACAATAATACTGTATATAACATAATGCAATACTTTATTCCTTTGGTAGTAAAAAAAAATATTTGTTTGCATATTGCTCCTTGATCCAGAAAACTATAATTTTAATCAAAGCCTAATGTGTCACATTTATTTGCAATGAACCAGTTGTCTAATTAAATCTATTCTAACTTATATCTTATTTCTACCTGTAAAAGTAGCAGAGGGTGCATGGTAGTAAAAAACAGCTTGAACTCGAAACACTGTAGAGAAATCAAACTGATTGTACAACTGACATATAGAAAGATAGTTTCTAATTGCTTGAAATGTAATGTGATATACACTAATGTTCAAAAAAATATTATTGTTAAAATATAAAAGCTTAATATTACTCATATATTGCAAGAATTCTATTGTGTTTGATTTGCTCATCAATTAAGTGGATTTTATTTGATTTGAATTGTTTGAATAAATTATTCTTTATTTATTTAATTTGCCTATATTATTATTTCACATTATTCCAGTTTTTACTAAATATTTGATCAAATA